AATGCATTTACATTTCATCTTTCCCAGAGTCCCTGCCTCTCGCCTGCATTTCCCATTTTCCTTTCTGAGGTCCCCTGTGCCCTGACAAACCAGCAAACACTTCATGAGAGAGAAAGTTCTTTCATGCCTGCTTTCTCATTTTTGATGTCCTTTCCTATATCAGCAGATGGGGCTGGTGCCTTTAATCTTCTCTCTGCTGTATTTGCAGTCTGGAAGCAAGTCTTCACAACTCACCCATAAAAAAGTACACACTTAAAACTTGTGAAGAAGGTTTCAGGAGGTTTTTAACCCATTTGTTAGCTTCGTAAAAATGTGACACTCCTTGTTGTTTAGCGAGAATAGGATACCAACAATGGAAAAGATGGAAATCTATTATGATGATAATTAGAAAACACCTTTGTAAAACTGGTGGATGGAACCAAAAAGTTCATTCAGTAAGCACAGTCTTTTGGATCCACAGAAACCAGCTGTTTTTTTCCCCCCTTAAACCCAAACATTAAAATAAACTTACCTTACAATGGAACACCGAGTTCTCGTCATAAAGTATTAAAACTAGGAGTTTAAAAATTAATGAAGCATTTTTAATCACACGGCTTTCATGAAAAGAAATAAAATAGAAAAACCAAAGTCTTTTAAAATCACAAATAGTAAAACAACATTCTAAAGCATTTCCAGCTTACCCTTTTCTCTTTTCGTCTTACATGCACCCATATGAGAGCATACATTCAAATTTAAATATTACTTTACACATACACTGGGGCCCAGCACCCTGGGCCAGGTGTCTCTGTTTACAGTTTATGTTCACTCAATTGCTATGTCTTTACAACCAACCTCTCAAATCCCAAGAAAAAAACTGTATTGCCTTCTATTTCTTACTTAACTTTCTGTTTAATCTTTAGTACAGCTGGGACTTCTTGGGTGAATGAGATGACAGAAACCAATTTAATTTTCTCCAGCAATAAACCATCATCTTCCACTGAATAACTCAACTTGGCTGGAATGATTTTAAAGGCCAGCTTTACCTAGAGCTTTACCCTAAATTCTTGAAAGTATTTCTTTTTCTTAATGATTTTCCATCAACTTGATTATGCTTAATACCAGTATTAACTGTAAATTTAATTGTATTTTTTAGAATGTGATTTTTTTGTTTATTGGTACATCAATTTACTTCTTTCTTCTTTGAATATTTTCGTGTTTTCATCTGTTTATACTTCCAAATAAAGTTTTAAATTATATTGAAAACAAATAGCCTTCTGGCTTTTTGGATTGGTTTTGTTCGGAGTTTCTTTAATAGCTCACAACAGTCATGTTTACAAGCTTCTGGGCTCCTCTGTTCTCTCTCCCTACCCAACAAAATCATGATCCCAGTACTGTAATAATTCTCTGCCTTTCCTTCTTAATTGTACTACTTGCATAGGAACCCATGGTTAACAGTTCTGCCTGGGTTTGGGCTTTGTATTACGGTATCCACATGGGCCCTACTGACTTATTCTTTCTCTCAGTATGGTTTCTGTGGTCCATCTGTCCAGTCACCCACAACTGTATATGACACCCTTTGTGCTCTACAGAATTCCACTGTGCAAACAGACTTCATTTATCCATTGTGCTGCCAACAGACATTTGGCTTCCTTTGTTCCCTTCTTTTTCTTGTTTTTTCCATGCCAGACTGAGCTCAGGGCCACAAGCATCCTAGGCCAGCGCTCTACTGAGCTATGTACCCAGGCCTCCTGTGACTACTAAAGTTGTTCATAGTAAGTACATTCCTGCACACTGCTTGGCAGCCACACATGGGAGTTTTTCTACATGCAGAGAGCAGGCCATCAGAAACGCCTCAGCTTGACTTCCCCAGGTGGTACTGACTCACACTCTACAGCAGCAACGGACCACTGCTGTCATCACTGCTCCGCTGTTGGTATTTTCTGACTTTAGTTTCTGCCAGTTTGGTGGATAGAAAATGGCATTTTTGGTTTTAATGTAAATTTCCTAAATACTAAATAAGGCTGAACCTCTTTGCATGTTTATGAGTCTCTTGTTTCTCCCATGAAATGCCTGTTTGCTTCCATCTTTTGTTTTTTTTTTTTTTTTTGGTACAGGGATCGAACTCATGATTGCACACTTGCAAGGCAAGCGCTTATGCTGCTAAGCTAAATCCCCAGCCCCAGTTCCATCTCTCTTGAGCTGTTTTCAATACAGATCTACACTCAGGTGCTCTTTAACGGTGAGGTGCATGTTAAAACGGGTCAGTTTTCACTCTGGGGTTTATCTGGTATTTACCATTAATATAGCCAAATCATTTTTCTGTTAATTTGATAGTTACCATCCTGTTCACAACACCCTTCCTACGCCAGAGCTGTTTTATCACTTTTTAAAAAATTAGTACATGCCTGTATTATTACACACAGCACATGTACATATGCATCTTGATTACTTGTTTTCATCCTTTTTCTTTCCTCTTTTTCCACCTCTTCAGCCCCTGCCCATGTGAGAAAATTTCCCTACTTCCTATTATCTATCACCAATGCTGTTTTAAATGCTGCGTTTCACAGTACATTTTATTATCTTATAGTGCTAGCTGTTCTCACACTTCATTCTTTTTTAGGACTGCCTTGAGTACCCTTCACCTGTGAACTTTCATCTGTATTTGAGGATCAGGTTGACAAGATTCACAGTAAAAACCACTGACAATTTTATACAAACTGCACTGAATTTATCAGGCAATTTGGAGAAAAAGTTCAACTCAGTAAAATTGAGACTCCTTATCCATCACATATCCTCCACTTACTTAAGAGATCTACATGGCTTTGGTTTTTTAAAAATTACTTTCTCATTAAGTATTATATTTTTCATTAAACTGTGCTCTTAAGTACTTCACTTTTTGTTTCTACTCTGAGTTGTATTTACATGTTTAAAATTTAAAATCTATTACATATGTAGCTGATAAAAAAAAGTGAAATGGACACTTACATACTGATTTTTTTCCCAGAAGCCTTGATAATTATTTTTTGTTTGTTTTTTGAGACCACATAGCTGGCATCCAACTTGTGGCAATCTACCTGTCTCTCGACCTTCTGAGTGATGGGACAACTGGTGTATGCCATTCTGCCCAGCCCTCTTGATAAACTCTTAATTCTAATTTGTCTTGTAGACGCTCTAGAGTTTCATAAATAATTTGCCAATACAACTTTAATCCATTAATGAGTCACATTAATTGATTTTCTAACATTAAACCAATCTTAAATCCCTTGAGATATGGTACACCCAACATGGGCATCATCTGTAATACTGTAAACACTCTTGGTCTTACTTTGCAAACATCGCTTATTTTCCTGCTAAAGGGTATAATGTATTTACTTACATACACACACACACACACACACACACACACACACACACACCCACCCCAGGCCAAATTCATTATGTGTTATTTAACCTTCTAGTTCCTTAATAATCCTAGTAATTTGGCTTTGCCTATAATCTATTAATTACTCAGGGGTACGCTGAAATGTCCATTATATTGGCATATTAATCTACTACTTGCAGCTGTGCCTTTTTTTTCTTTATATATTTTGAAGTATGTTATTAGACACTTTAATGACTAGGAAGTTTCAGACTGTTATATTCTTTGGGCTATCACTATCAAATTGGGGAAGGGAGGGCTTACTATTAGTATAAGGAAAGAAGGACTTTACTGAAGAACTTGTAGTTAAGCCAAAATAAACCTCTGATCTCAGATTTTGTGAACAATAGTCTTTTATCGTGAAACTTCAGGATTTTGAGTATTGAGAAAAAGGCCAAAGAAGAAATAAGTTAAATACACATACAGAATGGATTCTAGTAAAAGTTTTATACTCTGTAAAAATAAAATAATAATAATAATGTGCTAAAAGGATGTTTGAACAGTATCCCACCCAGCTGAGGTGAAACTGAAAAAGGAAAACTGTCAGGTGACTTAAATGCAAAGATAAAATCACTGAGTTCTGCTAGACCTGGTTAATTAAAAACACACACACACACACACAACAGAATAGGTTACAACAAATAAACCAAAACCAAAACCAACCAAACAAATAAAAAACCAGGGCATTCTGAGAACAATGGGAAGCATCTAACACTGGGAAACTGTAATTGTAAAATAAAACTTCATTACTTCTGATGTCATAGTAGGAAAACACAAAAGAGAAATATAGGAAACATGGCCAACCCATGAAAAAATTCCCCAAGTTCTGCTTAAACACAGTTATGGCTCATGTCTACATGTCCCTCCAAAGTCTCATGTGGTCATAGGTGTAGCTTTTTTGGAGATGGCTGGATTGGAGGTGTACATTTTTCACAGTGTGTGATGCTAGCATTTATGGTGCAATGCTAGGATCAAAGGCACTAAGAGTATGAGTTCAACCCACCCTAAGTAGCCTGGATAAGATATAAGGGATAGAAAGACCCGTAGCGCTCCCTTGTTGCTTTGCTACCTTCTGCCCCACCCCATGAACTGTTTCTCCTTTGCAATGCCTATCTGCAATGCCACCTTGCCTTGGAGCTGACTATAGACTGAAACCTCTACGAATTGTGAACTAAATAAACCTTTCCCCGTTTAACTCTGGGTGTTAGGTATTTTGTCTCAGCAATGAAAGAAAAGTAGCTAAGACAAAGGCTCACAATGGAAAGATATTATATGAGAATTAAAAAAAAAGAGCAAACCAGAGAAAACTACATATGTATCTATATGCATACCATACACACCTACAGAATATGTAAAACTTTCTATGGATAGTTACATGCAATTTTTTTAATCACTATGCAAGGGGCAAGACCGACCCTCAGCCTGCCCTGCAAGGTGGTAAACCATTGTGACAAATACATGTGAATGGGTTACCATTCAGGAGGCATGAGGATATACTGAAGGCAAGAACAAACATATGTACCATAACAAGTTTCTGTGAACCAAGTATCAAGCCCAGAGACATCTGGGCAAAATTTACAACATAACATAATGAGGCCAAGAATCTCTATACAAGATTTATTTCATTAACCACAAAGTTTTAGAGTGATCTTATACACTCTAACAGAGGAGTGATTCAAAATCCACCAAGGATTAAAGGTCAGAGGCAAAGTCAGTGGCAGCGTATCTCATGTCAATTACTGTTCCATCCACCTGGTTGTTTTTCTTGGACTAATAACTGAGCAACAACTGTTCTGAGCTTACTACATCTTGTGACTGACAAGCACCACCAGGGACAAGACTTCACTGTTTCCTCATTGCCCTGGCTGTGCTGGTGGGTAGCAGAAACCCCTTACCCCATATAACCTCAAAAATTATATATAAGCATTCCTATTTCTAACCATGGCTCTCACAACTTCACACTTGAATAATTTCTCCTTTGCATGGCTGTAATATCAACAAATTGGACTAATGGAAGCAAGTAAACTGCTATTTGTTTTTAATAAAACACATCCTAGGAGAATATCCACAATCTTATTGCATTTAGTACCTAGTCACAATGTTGAAATGACATGTGAGAATTAATACAAAATATTTATTTTTTCCAAACCACAGAATTAACCCCAGAGCCACTTGATAGATTTCCCCAGAATTACAATCCATAAAATATTTTCTAAACAGTGCTGTCCAACCTGAAATGAAGATGATTTCCAACTAGCAGGGGTGCAATATTTATCCCAGGGTTCTGTAAGAATTGATCTCTATCACTTTCTTCAATTCTCTCACAGCCATGCCATCAACTTAAGCTGAAACAATATACGGATTTTGTCCCTCAGCTCTGGAAAGAGGTTCAGAACAGGGTTTCAGACAGTGGAAGAGGCATTAGTGACTTTAATCAATGGGGGGTGGGGGGACAACAAACAAAAGAATTGTTTCCTTTGGAAAGGACTCCTTTCACATACTTTGGTGGCCAAAAAGTGAGGCAAACTTTATTATGGCAATAGGATGGCCATTTTTCTATAAACTCTTCTTAAAAGTTTCATTGTACTTTCTGATAAAAATGAACTTTACCTTAAAAAATCTTACTGAAAACAGTAATTATAACTAAAAAGGTCCTGTAGCCCTCTTACAGGTATCAGCCAAGGGGTTCACATTCTGACATTGGATTTTAAAGTCCCATTAAGAGGTCTATATTGGATTTAAGTAAATGTAATATTCCAAGCTAAAAGATCAATAACACTCCATAAAAAAATCAAGTCAAAACACCCAAACAATGGTGAGAAAGCTAATGCAGAATTTTTGTTTGCTTTTCAGTTTGCTCTTTCTTATCTCAGACTAGTGTATATTCATAAAACAATGCTCCATGAGTTTAATTATAGCTGCTTATTAAGCAAGAGAATTTTACCTCAAGAGCAATGCCTCTCCTGTATAATAACAAATAATTATCTACAGTTAAGATGGGAGAACAATCAATAAAATATTGGCAGCCTCAATAAGACAAATTTGGAAGGCTATTTGCTCTGACTACAGGAAAAATGCAACAGGATTAAATACTATGATATAAATGCTTCTGCTCACTTTATAACTGCCAAAACCAATTTTGTTTGTTAGGTCATCATTACCTCTGCTAGAAGGTATACTGACCACTTTTAAGTTATCCTTTTGTGCTAAAAGACCTTCAAATCCCTCATTTGGTCTGTACAGAATATTGCAAGGTGATGCATATGCAAACTCTTCCTGAGGAATTTTTATGTGTGCAAATTTGCAACCCAACAGAAATCATAGCATACAGCAAGGGAAGTGGCAGCTGCACAGGTCGGAGCACAGGAAACGTGCAGTGTTCATGGCCATGGGCATCCATTCCTCCCCAAACTCACCTACCCATTAACAAGCTTCATCCTAATGAAAGGTAGTATAAATTTGTAAAAGGGGCAGGAAAAAACTGCAAAGTTTAATAAATCACAAGTCATGGATTCAGGTTGGTGCTTCTTCTTAGTAGCCCAGACTTAGAACTATTAGGCCAAGAGTTACACCACCAGGTTTTGCTTTTTGGGCTCCCTCTCTTTCCCCAAAATGGAATAGTAATAATTACTGCTGGGTTAGGGTGCAGCTGTGACAACAGAGGTCATGAGCTATGACACTGTTACATAAAGCTTAAGGCCAACCTTTAAAATATGTATCATCTCCTGAAACAATATTACCTATTTATTTTATATACCTTATTTGAAGAAGACTGATCTAACTCTGGCTTTCTTTGTAAGTATCTAGTTTTCAGCAGCACATAAGTACTAACCAGATAGTTTAACCACATCAATAGCATGTGCTGATGAATCAATCAACTGACATATAAAATATTCTGTCTCCAATGATTGAAATCTTCCATATAAAAGCCAGTATTTAGCAGGGGTGGGAAAACTATATACTGTCCTGGCAAGAATACAAATAAACAGGAGAGGAAAATACTTTCTGGCAAAAAGTAATATTCAATAAAAAAGGGGGGGATTTTATTTCATGTTATAAGTTAAGAATTCTGTCAAGAGTTTTAACTAATAAGCAACGTCAAATTTTACTTAAAGAAATACGTTTCATACTGCAATGTACCTCAAGCGACTAAGATTTGTAATAGCCAGGGCACATGTACTAGGTGAATTGGGTACTCCTTCAGAGTACCTTTTGGTAATAGCTTTAGGGTACCAAGCCTGACACATAGCTGGATGCAGTCACTATGCAAAAGTTCTAAGAAACTAAATTTTACAGACTTTCCTTTGCCTGCATTTTTTTTTTGTTAACACACACATTAATAAAAAGAATATAAAATATTTCTCCATTAACTTAATAATACAAAGGTATTCAAAGATTTTAATGCCAATTCATATCATAATACAATGCTTTTTTATAGGGAAAATTCTTCTATTGACCAAAAAAGGATGTTCGCTCCCAAAAAAAGCATTTGGGAATGTTATTAGGATATTGAAGAATTCATTCATGTTTAAAGAAATGTTCCAATTTTATTCCTTTCAGAGATATCATCAAAGCCACTCAGGAGACATTTCAGTCCCAGGTACTATTTATAAGCCCACAGCAAGCATTCCATTGAGCAAAGTAAAATTTAGGTTTTGTGATAAAATGGAATTCTTTCTTAATACTAGAATGTTTAAATAGATCATAGAGCCGGCATGTTCTTAGGGAACTTCACTATTATCTATAAAATCCATGATGCTGAGGGTGGATGAGTCCAACTAAAGCTCTCCACAAAATGCAACAACTCTGGCTCAGAAGTATTTAAAAATGTATCGCTCCTTTATGTTTACTCCACTGCATAATTTTACAAATCAGGGACTGCTATTAGATGACTTACTTGCTCCCAATCTCCCACTCCTACAGTCTGAATCCATCACTAAAGGACACATAGAAATGAAAGAGGTGCCTCTGAAAAACCTACAGATCAGCAACATGATGGCATCCTTGGTATGTCTTCCATTCTCAGAAGAGGTAACTATCACTAGCCCAGTGGAGTGGAGGCTATTCTCAATTTACATTCAAGCAAAACAGAAGAAAAATGTTTTTTCCTTGCCATATCTTTCTTTCTTTTCTCTTCTTTTTTTGGGCCTTGGAAAAACAACTAGAATAAGCTTCAGAGGCTTTCATGGATAATTAAATAGCACTATGAGTGTGGTGAAACAGAAAATGTGGCTCTGTCACAGCTAGAAGCAAGCCTTAAAGCAGTAGTGTGACTTCTTCCTTATTCCACTGAAGTATGTTGTTTAAGAGATGTAGAGTATAAACTACTTTCTAAAGTACTTATAATTAAATGAATCAAAGTTCACACCACAGATTGTATTTGGTTTTAGTAACTACATTACTTCCTAGAGTGTTAGAGGAAGCTGCTCCTACCACAGGACTCTCCTCCTCAGCACGGAAAGGGGGCATTCGTGCTACAGTGCCACACATCTGAACTAGGGTATCACCCACACTACAGCGGCTGGTGAAATCAGGTGAGGTGATGGTGGAATGGAAATGCTGTATGAGAGTTGGTCCCCACATTAACATGAACATGCCCTGGTGCCTCTAGGGAGAGAGAGGGAATCTGACCAATGTGCAACACATTTCTACCTTCCGACTTAATTAACATCCTGCCACAAAAAGATGCTTGACATTTTGGTGGATTGGCTCAGGATGCCATCAACTTCTCCAGGAAGCATTTGTAAATTTGACAATACCATCACACAGTTGCAAAGTGCACAAAGCTCAAGGCACAGAATAGGAAAAGGTTGTGACTTGATGGGGGAAAGGTTCTAGTGAAAGCTGAGTTGATATTTTCCTTTAACCGGACATTCTAATGCTTAACAAAGACCATTTCGTATTTTAAAGGAGGCTGTCTGGGATATGGGTGAAGAATACTGTATTGTAACCATCTGCTTGCTTTTAAAGTAAAAAGTATCTTGACATGTAAAACCAGTATGAAGTGCCAAGTCCACAAATGAACAAAACAAGTGCTTTTAAAAAAAGATTTCTTCTTCTCTTGTATTTTTGGAGGACACCGCTGATTCTCGTTCTCAGATCTCACTGAGCAATGGTCACTTTCCAAGATGCTTGTTCCTCATAGAATCTGTAGATAAACTCATTAAAGGATTGTCCCATATCATAATCACCCCCAAGTCTAGCAGCAACTGTTTTTATGTTGTTTTTTGTTAGTTTTTTAAAAATTACAAACCAAAATAAGAAGTCCAGCAACTTCTCCCAAGAACAGCCTTATGACGGAGCTCCTGAGTGCTGCAGGCCCGGCTGCGCTCTGAACACAGTCTGTGCAGCTCCAGTGTTTCCTCTTTTGGGGAGGAAAGTACATTCATCACATTCACTATCTGTATCCCCTGGAAGCTGCACATGTAGAGGAGCTGCCTGAAAAAAACACCACAACAGAAAACAGCATGAAGAGCAGACAGCACTTGAGAATGGGAAAAAACATACATTGATTCCACATGTTTTTCTCACTCTTCTCCCAATCCCTCAAAAAGACTTACTTTATGAGCCTCTTAAAATTATGTGGTTGTGAGAAGAGTGGGAAAGAATGTGGGCCAGGGATTTAGCTCAGCAATGTAAGCACCTGCCTAGCAAGCGTGAGGTCATGAGTTCGATCTCCGGCACCAAAAAAAGAATCAAGATGTGTCATGCACGTGTACCAACTCCTCCTGATGAATGTAATCATCACATATTGCATACATGTACTAGTAAAAAAATTTTTTTAAAAACATGTGACTCTGAATGAAGTTAAAAAAGTCAAACAAGATAATCAAAAACTGACGCTGGGGTCACTTATCCCATCTTTATAGATAATGAAGAATCTGGTAGCCTCTTGGCAGCTGCCCGAAAATCACTACCAACTTCAGAACTGCCAAGCCTGCAGAACAGCCCAACACGGATCATGCACGGTGCCTCCTGTGAGCACTGTCAAGAACACATGGCTATCAATACAATCACAAACCATCAGGGGCTGCCTAGCATCAAAAAGCATCATTACTTACTGTAAGCCAACTCGTCCCCAGCTCTCTTTCGGGACTGGTCACCTCTAAGGATAACAAAAGAGGAGGAAGTGAGCAGAGCATACCAAAACAGCAGAAATGACCAATACAATTGACAGCAGAAGTATAGCAAATATTTCAGTTCTCACCTAGCTGTGTTTTAAAATAGAGATAAGCTGAGTCATTTGTAACTTAACCATTCTTAAGAGTCCAGCCTCAGATACGGAAAGTTATTAAGTGAAGGATCATCTGTAAGAATGGTTGACACCAAGTTCCAGAAATTACTTCAGACTAGAAATATGTCCTTCAAGACAAGCCTGAATTCTGCTATCAACATCCCTACTGAGCTGCACATACCAAGGCAAATTTCAAATATGAAATACAGAAGAAAATGAAAAATGTTCCTTTCCTAAAAGCCCTCCTGAAACCAGAAACTCTTAAAGCCTTTGAAAACTGCCGGAACTTTAATGTGCCTTAAGATTCTTTCTGTGGGTGAAGAACATGAACTTTTCTGTGTGTTAACCAGCTCTTCTTCAAACACTTACAGAAGTTTTAGTTTCACTTTGCAGGTCAGAAGACAGAAATTCGGATAAAGCACTATGTTACTTCTGAATCCTATTTGTGTCTCTTGGGCTTCTCAGACAATAACCCAGACAAATGATTAAAATGCTTCAGTAATGAATAATAATGACCAGTTCACCAGATGCTTCTTCCTCAATCTCTTAGCAGCATTTATATGGTTGATCTCATCCTTCCTGAAACACTCTTTTTCCCTTTAGTTCCTGACCTTCCTTCTACTGTATTTCTGTTCCTCTATTGAGCACTGCTGTTCCTCCCAACACTGTTCTAGGCCATCTACTCTTCATGTACACTCTTCCTCAACCTAGGGAGTCAAATCTATTTTATTTTGGACTAAGAATCAATTTCTTAGTCTGATGTGGTGGCACATACCTGTAATCTCAGTAACCTGGGAGGCTGAGGCAAGAGGATCTCAAGGGCAAGCCCATCTGGGCAGCATAGTGACTTAATGAGACTCTGTCTCAAAATGAAAAAATAATTTAAAAGGCCAACAATGTAACTCAGTACAAAGGCCTTGGGTTGAACCCCCAATACCACCACCAAAAACAAAAAGAATTTTTACAGAAAGAGCTCCTAGAAATCAAAAGGAAAAAAAAAAGCTTAACAGAGAAATGAGCAAAGGACGTAAGTGGGAAGTTTGCAGAAAAAGACATGCCAACTCTGAAAATATGCTCAGTTTTACTTATAACAAGACATATGCAAACTAAACCAAATCTAAGTAATTCTTTTTCCTCTGCTAGACTGAAAAAATTTTCAAGTGTAATAACACACAATACAAGTGAGGCCATGAAGAACAACCATTTTCAAACTCTGTTGCTGGCTACGCAAAATGGAACATACCGTATGGAGGACACTTTGATAATATTAATCAAATTTATAAGTGCATTTACTCTTGACCCACCAACCTATTTGTGAGAATTTAACTTGTGGATATATACCCAACAGGTATAAAATTGTAGGTTGTTCTCCACTGAAGAATTCTACAGTATCAAAATTCAAATGGGCAACTATTAGAGAATGCTTAAATAAGCTATAAAATATCTAACACATCCATACAATAGATTGTGTGAAAGGGAACAAAAATGAGGACATAATTGATGTTTCTTGTATTTGCACACACACATGTGCATACACATACACACACACATAGGAGGAATCACAAGAAACTAGTAATAATGATTATTTAATGGTAAGGGGACAGAAGAGAGCCACACTATTCATTACATACTCTTTATATCATTTTTATTTAGTGAACTATATTAACATACTAACTTCAAAAACAAATAGATAAAAATTAACATGCCATTAAATAATGGCTTCATTCCATATATGAAAATAATATCACTCAGTTTCTGTTGGAAATATTACAATTAATGTCAGGAAATACCTGCTTCTCAACATCAAGAAAAAAAGCTAGCTATTTACATTCCAGCATTTTCCACTGAGCATTCCTTCCCCTACCCACAAGAAAGGAAGGTCCACAAAGCCTATCTCCACAGCTTCTCTGAGCCTTTACAGTGCAAGAGGCCAGGGAGAGAGGTAATGATCAGTGGGTTACTCAGTGCCCCCACTACCCATGAGCATAGGAGCCTGGAGGATTTAAAAGGGAACGAATACCAATAAGAACAAGAAATATTACCTTTCTTTCCAACCACTGCTGAAACAGACTCAGTGATCCCAGTGAAGGCTAGTTTTACTGAAATTTATTTTAGCCTCAGAACCTTGGAAAAATGAATGTTTACTTTTACCCTAACCAGCAAAGTGAGTCAACACTGAACCTATACTGTGGGTAGAACCATGACTGAAACATCATAGATGTCTTTTTGTTTTCCTTTTTACAACTCTTCTTTAATGTTAGGAATTCAAATACAGGAAAATACATAAAGCCATTCTGAAAATCCACTAACAGAATTTGAAGGTGGTCGTTATTCATGGCCTTGTTTGTAATTGTTATAATTCTGGACTTCTACCAATCTAGAAGGTAAAAAAGAATTACTCAGAATTGGTTCAGTTTGCATTTCTCTCATTATGAATGAAGACATCCTAAGAGTAAGAAGTATGAAAACGTAAGATGCTACTGTGTCCTTAAGTGATCTAGTGATATAATCAGGTGTCTCCCCACAAATATTCACACTTTTATTTTAGTTGAAAAAATGCACTTTGTAAGATTTTTTTGGGATATGGCTATGAATTGCAAAAATTTTTTAAAAATAAGCAAAGTGTTTACACTAAAGGCAAGTAAATTTTTTGGATATGTATAAAAAGACATTCTACTTTTCAGTAAGAAAAAAATGAAATGAATAATTTAAAGGCTTTTTGTTAGTTCTATCATAGAAGTACCTGATAACTAATCATAGAATTTCTACGTTTTACCACACATTCACACTAAGTTGAAGAACTCTTAGAGGTTACCCAACGTAACTGCTCACCAGTGAGAAATTCCTTCTTCAAGATACACCTGGAAAAGGGCACCTTTCACAGTTCAAACCATGCTTCAGTGTTACCGTAGTCGAGGAGCTGATGACCTCTCCGGGCAGCAGCATCTTGGCCCATGGACTACAACTTTTTTTTCCAAGAAGCTCAGTACCCTTCCCTGCCAGCCCAAAATGGCCCCAGGAAAGGATATGCACCGTCACTAACTAAAAAAGACAACTTGCCTTGTAAAACCGTTCTGTATAAGCTCTCTTTGAAGTTTCTGGTCTTGAGCAGCATATTCAGAAAGCTCAGATTCCATTGCCGGAGGGAGAATGTTTGGAATAAATTTAGAAAATAGAGTTGGAGCCATCTGAACCCACTCTGTGAGGGAGAAAAAGATGCAAGAAGAAAATCATACAGATATATGGAAAAGAGAAATTTTTCTTTTGTTTAAAAGAACAAAAATATGTATTAAGCCAAATTTAAAACGGGGAAAAACTACTTCAATTCTATTTTGTTAAAGAAATCTAAAGAAAAACCTCTTTACAGTATGAAAGAACTTTTACTTTTTATAGATTTAGCAGAATGAACTAGTGAATTTTTTTAATGGATCTGGTTGAAAATTCTAAATATGGAAGAAAACATCAATAGGAATACTAAAAAATTCTGAGTGGGCGGGAACTTGAGGAAAAAAGTTTGATGGAACTATCAGTCCTATTAGCCATTAATTAAAACAATATAGTGGTCCAAGAATAGAAAACTAAGAGATAATAATAAGTACACATAAAAAAGAAAGCAATACAAGAAAAGGGGTAAGAAGGACTGAGAATTTAATAACATAAGCTGGACACAATTAGTATGCTGAAGATAATATTTTGATCCATATCAAAGCATAAAAGAATTAAATACATAACAATAGAAGGAAAAATAAGTGGCTATCAAATTATTAAGAAAAATATCAAGAGGATCACATATTCAATAAAAAAGCAAAGAAGTCCCAGGAAAATATTTTCACCAAATATAACAAAAATAACTTACTATATGAGTATTTGTACTAATCATAAAATGAGATAAAATAAATGAGTAAAAGACAGGAACGGATTCTTCACATGAAAAGCAAAAACAAACAATCAAATAATATTCAGAAAAATTCAAGCTAGAATAAACACAGCCTCCAACTCCTCCTCCTTAGTGAACGTTAAATAGAAATAATGCCCAACTGCATCAAGGACAGGATGAAGTCAGTTCCCCTCCTTGCTGGTGGTCCTCAGTGGTCTTTTTACCTCTTTTCTACTGTTTTCATCTAGCCTTCTTGAAATTCTCCTTTTATACAACTTGTCTTTTAAATTAAAAACCATAAAAATGTTAATGCTCTTTAAGCTGGTAGTCCACTTTAAAAACTGAAATTTGAGCAAATACTTCTAAATTGGAATGAGCCACATTTGATGCTGCACGGTATTGGGTCAGTGGTAGGTAAAAAGGGGAACTAAAACAGTAAAATAGAATAACTAAGTACACGATGGCAAAAATAAGCAAGCACTATAAATGTTATAAAGGTCACTCTGCTCACTCTTGCACAAACTCATGGCAAAAGGTTCTCAATGGGTCTTTCCTAACAACTCAGCTCAAATATGGCTTTAGAAAGCATCCCACTCCAGTGCTCTGAGAAACCACTAATTAATAAATCAGAGTTCCTAGAGACCAAATCTTTCTGCCACTTTATGGAACTTCAGGTAATGACTAAAGCACTAATCAAGAAACAACAACAAAAAAGTATATGTAAAAAAGGTAAAGAAAGAATGAGTGTCTAAAGACCAGATGTTAACACGACAACAGAATCTCCAAGAATTAGGGCCCCAAAATGTATAGGTAAAAATATTCCAAGTGATTCAGATGCAGGTGTACGACAACCAGCACTTATGAAGCCCTGCTGTGAAAGAAACTTTTACATTTAAAAGTCAACTTTTAGAATGTTCTAACCTTTAACTGCTAGAGCAATACAGCTGCTTTAATAAACCAGGAACATCATAGATACTGGCAAGATGTGTAAATGTCAAAATGTTTAAAAAGATTTCTGAAAGAGCCTGTGACAGAAAAAGTGTACAGTAAAACTCACCTTCTGAAAAGGACAATTCTCAATGACTGAATTTTCCTCACAAGCAGTATAAGTTCTATTATAAGAACACTAACATGGATAAAATAGCATTTAGATAAACATGCATCACAATTTTTTCTATCTATAGTGATTAGTTTTGCTCTGGAACTTTGGTACTAATGATAAAAGCCAAACCTGATAAAGTTAACCCCTTGGGAAGCAGAATTTTTCATATTACACTTCAAAGTCTTCCAACATAAAAACACAATTCATAACCTACACACAAAAAATTTCCTAAGCTACTCACCACACTATAGTAAAATGAAATTCAAAAGGCTAAAAAGTTACAAGAAGAAAAATACCACATACTGGGATACATGCAATAAAATAATTCCTCTTAAAAATTAGAAAGAAGATAGCTCAGGACCTGATTCAAATTAAGTAACAACAGCTAGGTGTTGCAGTACGTGCCTGTAATCCCAGCACTCAGGAAGCTAGATCAGGACTGCCATAAGTTTAAGGCCAGCCTGGACTACACAGTGAGGTCAAGCAGCCCAGACTGTTCAATGAGACTCTGTCTCTAATCAAGCAAGCAAGCAAGCAAGCAACAATATTTTTGAATCCTCTAGAAGTCATTAATTGTTTAAAGTAACCTGAGAAAAAAGGTATTCTGAAATTAGACTATCTGCCACTAGCATTTCCACTTAACTTCCATTTTAGCAAACTAAAATCTGCCACGTTTTCAAGCTAATTAATTCACCAATCAAGCCATCAATTAATTTAAATAAACATTAAATGAAAATGACTAGTAACAGCAGCAGTTAACATTTCCACACTCATTATGTCATGAGGTATAATATTAAGCTCTTTGTATCATGTTTTATTTCATTTAATCTTCAAACGCAGAAAGGTAATTACTGTCAAAAAGACATCTTTTCATGTACGACCGGAGAACAATGCTCTACTTTGAGAACTACTGCAGTTTCTCCTTCATAGGCATTTTATACCTGGCTAGAAGACATTGAATGAAAAGTTGGAGGCTGTGGCTGACAGAGTAGGAAAATATCTATAGGCACCTGGGGATTTCTTTAAACCTGCAATGTTTTTATTCTAAGACAGATACTTTAAGATAATTTATAAACCATAACTTTTACTACAGTACTCTTTTTGTTCTGCTCTTCTGAATCTTCCCAGAACATCCTTATAAAATGACTATAATTGTACCAACACTTCTAGATTCCTTGCCAGTTCACAATAGGTCTAAGATGGTAAGAGTTGCCAATGGGTATGACTGTACTGTGGAGTGGTCAAGGAGAAACTCTGTTTATAACAAAGACAGCAAGTAAGACCAAATGTGAGTCTCAATTTTGTATGAAGTGTATCCTGTAATCATTTCTTCTATTTCATTTCCCCTCACAGGAGCTATATAAATCAAACTAACTGATTCTCACTAGTACACAAAGAGAATCAAGTGAGTTCAGAGTTTACATTTCACACTGATCATATCTACTCAAATTTTTTACTATAGCAAGTCTAAACACTATTCGATCTCACAAGATTCATGAAGAATCACTGCTCTCTTGAATCAGCCTGTAACATAAAATAAGTAAGCAAGTTCAAGCCCAACAGAAATGATGGCTTTTTACCTGGTCTGAGAGTATACAAGCCTTTCACAATATTTGCCATAGTCGAAGGTGTGACCTGAAATGGTGTTGACTGGGCTTCTAAAAGTAAAGCTGAAATAAGAAGACAGAAAAAAGGATGTCAAGGATCCTGATTGTCAAGATTTCTCCTGCTATGATTATTTCTCTCAAAGACCAAAAGGTAATAAGTGCAAGAAAAATCAGTCCAAGAGGACAAATGAAGACCAGGGGTTTAGCTCAGCAGCATAAGTGCCTGCTTGGCAAATGCGAGGTTATGAGTTCGATCCCCGGCACCAAAAACAATAATAATAAAAAAAAGGACAAATCAAGAGTTTTATAAACTTAAGGTTTAAAAAACATGCAGTAGCTTAATTTAACCGGTAAATACTTAACAAAGGTTGGGTGGAACACTAATAGATATAAATCAACTCACTGAGGTTCAGAAAATAAAATTTTCTGAAATCAAATAGTACTTCTGACATTTAGTGAAAGTATTCCCATTATGTCTGGAAACTAGTGGGTGACAGAAGTCTGAAAGCTTGTGCTTTACTCTTAATTCTGTATTTTCTAGTTCCTCACACATGCCACCACTGCCATGCTGATCTTACAGGCAACTGGTATTAATAAACTGTCATTGTAAGCAGTAGTCTTCTTCTAAAAATCAAGTATTAAAGAAATAGGAATTTTCCAACAATCCCACTATCAAGAAGTCAATAAATCCCATAGTTGTAAAGCTAGAGAACTCATAATTTTGAGACCTACGTCTCTTTAGGAATCATGATGTTCAAGTCTAGAGGGTAAGCACGTTCCTGGGTCCTGCACTCCTCTTCTAGTTCACGTGTTCCTCTGTGCTACGAAGTTTCCCTTGTGGCATCTGTCCTTTATTAATCTACTCTAAAAATTAAAACTAAGATTCCACTTTATTTTACAAGCATGTAAGTATGAAAATGATTACACTACAGGCCTGACAGAGCACTGGCCTATATCTGCAGTGAGAAGTCAGTCTTTATGCATAAAGGAACTCTTCATGAGTACTAAGCATCAGTTATTTTTTAGCAGAGGATCTTCCTGTGCCTTGCACTCCTTTAACACATGACCTTCTCATTTTCCTGACACACCTCCCTCCCACCCAGAGGCAGAGTCCGTGTCCTCTCCTCCAGTCTAGGCTCTGTGACTGCTTGCCAAAAAGATACAGCAAAAGTGACATAGTGACAACTTCTGGGCTCAGGCCTTAACAAACCAGCAGTTTCTGTTTCTTGCATCAAACTGCCCACAAGACCCTCCACCAGTTAAGCAGCAAAATAAAAGAGACTGCTGCTGTTTGAACCCATTATGTTCCTGGATGACTTGTTACATGGCAGGAACAAACAGAGCACTAACATATCCAAATGTATTAGAAGTCAAAAGGAAGTTACCGATCAAATTTTAGAAAAAGCACAGAAACTGAGTGTAGTAAGCAGGTGATGGTAAAATGTGTAACTAGACACAAAATATCAACCCTCAGTAGCAGTGTTATTCTGTTTAAATTAATTTTAATCTCTCTGCCTTAATTTCTATAGTAATGACTATACCTATTCTATAGGCCAATGAGAATTTAAAAAAATAGTATTTGTAAATTATCTGGAACAGGTCCTATAGTTGTATGTAGGTGTTTTCAAAAATCTTTTTGATGACTACTGATACAACACTGTTAAACATTTATAGAGTCCCTTGTTCTGGAGCCCAAACCAGTATGTCTACTGGTCACTTTTAATATCTCTTACACTAACCCCAATGCCTAGCAACTATCCAGTAAAAATACAGCAAATTCAGTTGTACCCAATTTACACAAGCTTTAAATGTCATTTGTATTGAAAACCAGATTATATAATAAATGAAAGAAGTAATGTGTTAATGCTTTTACTCTTGCCAAATCAGCATTTTATTCTCTTTTGAATATTCTCTTCCCAATAAAATTTACTCCCAAACTACTAGAAAGTTTAAAAACATATTTATGAAGAAAATAAGCTTCCTATCAAATTTTAAAACAGAAGAAATTGTGGTATACTTTGCAACAAAGCAGTAACAATGTCAAAACCAGGAAATGGCTGTAATTAACAGTTACATTATCTCATGCGATAATATTCATAGATGTGAGTGTTAGCCTTAAAAAATATATGCTCAAGATTCTGGGCCTCTATTTTACATTATAGAATCCCTTGGGAACATACTAAACAAACATATATCATCTTCATCAAGACTCTTAGCTGAAAACTGCCTTTCTAAAATAAACTAGCCCAACACTTAACAATTCCATCTCTTAATTTAAAATAAAAGTGGAAAAAAAGAGTTTATAATCAAGTTTATGAAAAAAATTCTTTTGCAAATTCCGGTAGAAGTTCATTATCATAGCTGCTAATTATGCTTAATAGGAAAGCAACAAAATACTGCAAACTCAAGTATGTACCAATTCTTTGAAAACGCCTTGGGATGTATGTATATCTACACTTCCTAGAAGAACTTTTAAAGAATGCTGAGATTTTAAACCTGGAACTTCCTAGACCACAGCTGGGAGGGGCGTGTCCTTTCAGGACAGGTGGCATGAGGTACCACCTACCGACAGGGGCAGGCAACTTAGGAATGGGGAGAGAAGGAAAACTAACTGGACGCTGCCCTGTGTAATCATCTGCAAAGCCATGTTAAATGTGCTGTAAGTCCCTAATTCACATAAGAGAAAATGCAGGACCAGAAGAGACTCAGAAACGTATCTAATACCTTCTATTCATGAATTCCCCATTGTGTCTTTCCCTATAGAATAGGAGAGGCTTCAACACTTCCTGATACCTAGTTCAGATGTCTACACGGGCTTGTATGATAACACTGGAGGTGGTTTGCTAGCAGTGTCCTCTCGCCTCCACAATAAGGTAAATTAGTGAATTACTTACGCATTAGGCTATAAATGTGCTTTTCTGCAACATGTTCCGTAAACAGCTTTATAAGATCATCTTTCAAATCTCTGTTAAGCTTAGTTTCGATGTAAAATTTATTCTGAAAAAGAGAATAATTTTTTAATACGTCAGAGGAAATGATTAGTCTCCTGAATAAAAACACTAAATATCATTTTAGGAAATAATGCATAAAAGTCATTGATTAAAACAACAAACCAACATCAAACAACAAGAGCCCTAGTACGTCCTTCTGGCACGAGATTGTAAGAATAAGCTAAAGTGCTATGAACTGAAACTTAACACTGGTGTAGAGACACGACAGAACCACACTGTGTAACATGCTCCTTTAAAAATCTTAGCCAGCCAGAGGTGGTAGTGCACACCTGCAATCCCACTTCTTTAAGAGGCTGAAGTAGTAAGATCTCAAATTTAAGCCTAGCCTGGGCAACTGTCTCAAAATAAATTTTTAAAAAATTCAAGGTGCTAGGATATAGTATTGTGTTTATATTTGCATTTTTGTGAATTATCTGTCCATATTCCTTTGTCCATTTTTCAACAGAAAAATAGGGTTTGTTGATCTTTTTCCAATTAATTCATTAAAACTGATTTATTATTAAAGAAAATAAATCTTTGTCTCGTGTTTACTACTTATTTACTACTTATTTTCCTCCACCTATACTTTGCTCCTGGTGTTTCACTACACAAACATTTTTAAACTTTATATTGTCATAGTCTAATATTTTCCCTCATTAAAAAGGAAAATAGGTCTGCCTCTGACTTAAGAAAGGCCTTTTCTCATTCCAAGGCTACATGTGATTCCTTCTAGTTCCACACTGTGTAACAAGGAAAACTACCTGGATTCCACAATATTTCATTTTTAAAGACTTACTCCATTTAGAATTTGTTATAAAGAATACAGCAGTTATCAGACTCCTACTCTCCAAAATGACTATCAACTGCCTCAACACTAAGAAACAATCTGAGCTTTCCTTATTGATCTGAAATATCTTTTTTCTTTATTAAAATGTTACTTTCAGGGTTTCCTGTTTTCCACTGCCGCGATCTATCTATCCCTGAGCCAATGACAAACGCTTTAATTACTGCAGCCTTCTCATTCATTTCAGTATCAGTCAGGGATTGTCACCTCCTATTTGTCATTACAGCACCTTTCATGGTTATTAGTTTTATTCATTTCCCACATGAATTTATCAAGTCTGCCATATTTCTTTGCTAAGAAATTGTTTTCCCATTCAGAAGTAAACATCTGATGAAAATGTATTTTAAATTACTTTTTAAAAAATCAACTAGCTACTCTCATTACTGAAATTTTTAAATCAAAATTTAGAACAAAAGTGATTTGACGGTATGCTTTAAAGTAGACACCTATTTGACACTTGTAGTTTATATAAAAGAATAAAAGATATAATATGTTTTAGTCCTGAAGGAAAAATTTCTGCATTTATAGCATTCTTCTCTGCTGGCATACCATACTGTTAACATTTAAGACCTCAAGGTACTGCATCTCAATGTGCACTTCTTACTCTTCCATAAGTAATCAGAATCCGTTAAACAGAAACAGTATGAAAACTTTAAAAGTAGTCAGCAACTCTTAAGTTATTTTATCTCTTTAAATAACAAGACATTAAACTTTTAAACTATAATGAGGGTAAGTTCTAATATCCTACTAAACATGAATACAAAACATTTTTATTTGATCTCTGTGTCCTTCAACAAAAATATTTTGTGGTAATTTAGGGTCTTAGATACAATTTATTTTCTAGTTTATTGACAGGTAGATACACATACACATATATGTGCATAGTTTTTACAAAATACTGAGTTTCAATGTGATATTTTCTTCACACATATATATAACACACTGTGATCACATTAATCCCATTACCCTCTCGTATACCTCTTCACCTTTATCCCTCTTCCCTTCTGCTTGTCTAATAATCATCTCCATTTTTTCATGTCATTTCCTCTTTTAGACTCCACATTTGAGGGAAAACATTTGATACAGTTTTTCTCAGTCTAGCTTATTTCACTTAACATGAAGATTTCCAGTTTCATCTACTTCCCTGCTTTTCTTTATCCATCTGTTAATGGGCACCTAGGCTGGTTCCATGCTTTGCTCTAGAATAAATATAAACATGTATGTATAGCTGACTAGTATAGCTGACTATATACAGTATGTATACAGTATAAGTATGTATACAGTGTGTAAGTATATAAGACTATACATACTTACAGTGTGCTGACTTTAATTCTTTTGGATATATACCAAAGAGTGGTAATTGCGAGATCACATGGTGGTTCTATTTTTAGTTTTTTGAGATACCTCCATACTAATTTCCATAGTGACTAACCTAATTTACACTCCCATCAGCAATGTACAAGGTTTGTTTTCCCCGTATTATCACCAGCATTTATTATTTATATTCTTGATGGTAGCTGTTCTGTCTAGGGTAGAATGGAATCTCAGTGTATTTTGATTTGCATTTTGCTTGTGGTTAAACATATTCATATATTTATTGGCCATCTGAAAAGTATCTGTTAGTTTCTTAAATAGTCACACAGACTTTGTTTAACAAAGATAAATTTGATGAAATGTTTAAAAATTTGTCACCTATTTCTGTGACTACAAAGGACATTTTGATGATTATGTCCCTAACAGGTTAAGATTTCAAACTATTCTTTCATATACTTTTCTAACAAAGAAAAACCAAAAGCTTAAAAATGTTTTATCTCTTGGATAAAATAACTTATATAACCAATTTTCCCAAATAACCAGAAACCAAATGATATAGTCTATATGGAAAATTATAATTTAAGAACCCTTAGTTGAATTTTGTTAGGTGGAAGAGTACCTTTGAAGTTTATTTGTTTTTACATGATACAGATTTCTTAAATACTACCTTAAAAGTTTGGCAAAGCAATCATGGCACTAGAGAAAAGTGCAAATCATTTTCCTCCCACATTCAACCTAATTTCTTATAAATTAGCTATTCATGTTTTTAAAGCCATGGTTAATTCAAGCTATAGTAATTCAATTTTTGTTTTCTTTTGTTTCCCCAACCTACTAGCCAATATGCTCACTAGAAATGCCATTAAAATGGCAGACACAGAAACGAATAACCTAATCAGCTACCCTTAACTCCGTTATCTATATAGGCCTCAAGTCCTATGCTTCATCAGCTCTCCTTCCATTCATTTTTGAGAACTTAGTGAAAATAAGGGTCCTGTTACAATGAAAATGAAGCATTTGCTCAATCACTACAAGATACTTACCTAACATATACCAGTGATGAATAATCTGAGAGGATTTTACCAAATGATACAACAGGGCTACCTCCAGGCTTCCTAACTCTTTCTGAGAATTAATTTGGCTGACCAAGGTACAAGTAATTATAGTATTATTAATGAAATTTAACTAGTTTCACAAATCACCAAGGAGTTCTGGTAATTAAACCAAAAGCAAAGGCTTTTATCAATTTTTTTCCAAGACAAATCTTGATTAAAAAAGAAAGGCAAGGGTCAGGGATTTAGCTCAGCGGCGTAAGGTCTGCCTTGCAAGCACACAGTCCTGAGTTCGATCCCTGGTACCAAAAAAACAAACAAACAAACAAAAAAAAAAAAAGCCTCTCTGATTAACTTTTAACATTGCTATCAGTATCCCAGTAAGTATTGTTTAAATGAAAATAAGAATTATTAGCTTATGAAAATTATAAAGTATGATAAGATCTTTTACAAAGTGCCTTTTGTAAATTAGAGGTAGTTCAGTTTTCTGGTTTTTAAAATTAAATGTGTTTTATGAAAAATGATCATTTTTAAGAATGGTATTCCACATACAGCAGTGTCTATATTACAGAAGGTAGGAGCAACCAAACATCTGGTTCTCTAATCTAAAAAAACAAAGAGTCAGAATAGTGGCTTCTAGGAGCTCCTCCATTCATCAGGAACACTAACATTAAGACTCTACAACTTACGTACTTAAAAGGGGGAGAGGAGAATCAACAACTTAGACTCTACAAATTATACTCATAGCATAACTCGACAATAAAAGAGATCATCAGAGTGGAATTAATATTTTATTGCTTTAGAATGTCTTACTTGGCATTTATCACACATATTTTTGCTTGCCTTAGATCTCCTCTTTCTAAGGAAATCTTATACAATAAATCCTCAACTTACAAACAAGTTCTATTCTGGGAGAATATTCATAAATTGGAATCCTTTATAATCCTACAAAGCGTGCCTTATATAGTACACCTATGAAAGTTTGCAACTCAATTATTTGTAACCCAGTGACTGTATACTTTTATTTTTCCAGGACCAAGCACAGTGCCTTCCATGTGATACAAATAAAAGCTTAATGGGTGATTGCTGATCATTAATTCAGCAATTGTTACGGAATTTTAAATCTGTAAAAGGAAAAATAGTTCTGCATCACCTGCATCACCTATACAACATTACTGAACATTACTCAGTAATATTGTATCCACTTCTCAAAATTACACAAAATATAGTAAAAGAAAAACAAAACACATTTAACTCTGCATCTTTTTGAAAGTAGGAAACAGCTTGAACTTACCATATATATGAAAAGAGGCACAATGCTCTGCAATGCTCCCATATATTGTCCAAGAGCTATATTAAATCTTTCAATATAGAGATCTGGAGGGCTGGCCTGTGAAGAGGAAGATAAAGGTGATCATTCTGAGGAACCAGGTCAAAGTCCTCCCACCACATTCTGGAATGCAAATCCACTCAGTATGAATAAAAAATTCATACTGAGATTCACAATAAAGGAGACACATTTATGCATTTAAGTTAGAACTTCTATCTTGTTTCAAAGCCTGTATGTAAAGCTGTGCTTTGGTTTAGCCATCTTTAAAAATGTGTAACTTCAACATGTTAATTGAAAGATCTGTTCTCAAAAAAAAAAAAAAAAAGGTCTGTTCCCTTAATGAGCAAAAAGGTATATTCAAAATGAAGAAAAGTTTTAAATTATCACTGAATTATGTAGACATCTATAGGAATCAAACTACAGGATGAGAATGGAGACAAAGAGAAATTACACAAAGTGGAACAGGCATGATATACTTTTAGAATAGCTAATGAGGTTTTGTAATTACCTTAGGCATAGTGATATTCAGAGTTCTATGTTAACCTTGGTTGTGGCTAACCTTCTGTGGCTAACCAACTATACTATAAATATTAGTTATAAGGCAGGAACTGTTGGGAGCCTGCCGTATTACCCATGAGAATATAGCCACAAGATGGCGTCCGCCTACCGCCTCGCTGCTCCCCCGCCCATCGTGTGCCCAAGATGGCGCACACATCCTGCTTCCTGGTTCTTGCTCGGCTTACTGTCCTCGCCATATATGGTAATGATTGATTGCTTCCTTGTTGCCGCCCAATCGCCTGTCCCCACGTGTAATCCCATGATTGGATAACATTAGCTATATAAGCCCAAGTATAGGAAGTGCCCGACGCACAACACGTAGGAAGCCGTCAAGGACGGACGTGTATTGAGATTGTAGCCCAGTCAATAAAGGAGCCTGCAGAGATAAAGTGTTCGTGTGCCTCATTCTGCGGGACAGACGCGGCGCCGGACAAGGAACTAAATCCAAACATCAGCAGCTCTAGAGAGTAGTATGATGTAATGCCTCCTATTTAACTCATTGTTACAAAACCATCAAGAGAATAATTCCAACTTTATTGTGCTACATACAGAATGAAATGTATGTCCCTTCAAAATTAACAAATGTATTCTGAAGCCCCAGTGCAGCTCTATTAGAGGTAAAGAAGTATCTGAGCCTATATGGGATCCTAAGAGCAGAGCCCATCTTCACACAGAGAGACTCTGAGCTCACTTTACCTCACCCCCACAACGTAGCTCAGAGGAAAGGCTATGTGGAGGTACTGGTGAGATTTTCACTCACAAGCCAGGAGAGCCCTCACCAGGAGCTGAACCAGGTAGTGCACCTTGATCCTGGCACTGACAGCCTCCAGGACAGTAAGAAGCAAACTTCTGTTGTTCAAATAACCCAGTCTATGGTATTTTGTTGTGGAAACCCAAGCAACACTGTTTTATATAGTCTCTAAAATTTTAATATTAAAGACATTAACAATATTAAAGAGCATTAACAAGTTTCATCCAGGTCTTTCAAATAAGAATTCATTCCTAGGCCAGGGTATTGGCCATGGTAGAAATATCATGCAAACAAAACAGACTCTATCTACACAAAGTCTAATCTGTGGGAATCTTATAACCTGACAACCATATCTCATACACAATCTTAATTTCAAACAAGAATATTTAAGAAATGGTACATTAAAAGGGCTGCTAAATGTTAAATTAAAAAATATGAAATTATAAAACAAGGCTAAATTATTGTAGAAATGTCCAAATATTTCAATACTACTTTAAAATAAAATTAAACATATTTTTTCCAGTTCTGCTTGAAAGTTTAGAATGTATATGGGGAATGGTCTTTAAGTCTCCCAATTCACCTTCCAATTTACTGAGTACAGTACTTACAAGGTCTGATATATGCTAGATACTTTATTTGCATTTGTCTTCCTAGTCCTCTTAATTGTCGGCAAAGCAACTGCTATTTCCATTTTATGTATAATGCAAATACCCTAAGGTATATTCAGTCATTTAACTATGACTCCCATAACTAATAAATAAACCACAGTTAATCTTAGTTGTACTATACCTATTCTCTGGCACCTTGAAATTTTAATTCAAGTTCAAACTTCTCAGTGTGGGGCCTCTCTCGCTTCAGCCTGCTGCTCCTCACACAGAGCCCAGCATGGCACTCACATGGAACTACTAGCAGATTTCAATCATCTGTGCAGTTTCAGACATCCCAGGTGATTCTACCTAAATGTCTCTCTCCCCAGTCGTAACTAGACTCATCTTGGTTAACTGCTAGTCATGCTTCAAGATTTATCTTCCTCTCAAACACAGGCACTCCGTGGTCCTCCAACCGTATATCACACACTACTTTACACATCCAGGCTGGTCTCTGCCACTGACTACAAGCCACACCCTGGAGCACAGGATCTGTACCTTATTTATAGATTTCCACCTGACCAGAGTGCCTACAACACAGCACAGGTAAATGTGCTTTTTTGAAGGACAGAGTCTTGTTAAAATCTAAACCTTAAATCTAACCTAGCCTTGTTTAAATCTAAATTCCTGTTTCATTATGTAATAAGTCTACGAAGTATGGACATGTAACTAGTAAAGTAAATAAAACATTTTGGAATTAGCTACTCATTTAATACTTTAGAAAAATTCATTAACATTTTAAAAAGCATTCTTTGTTAACTAAAGAATTTGGAGGAAATGGTTCCATATCATACACTTAACTATCATTAATGTGCAGAATCATAAGCATTTCTTTTTTTAAACTGCTTCAAAGAACTCTGGAAATGATACTTCAGCATTCAAATAAATTTTAAAAGTATCACCATACTTAAAAGTATCGCAGAAGTCACTGCATTAAAATAATTTTACCTTTTCATAAATATACTTTGTGCAAAGGTTAAAAATAGGAACACTGATCAAAAGGTATATTCAACAGGCAGAATAAAAATGAATTCCCTTATTAATTCCTTTTAAGAAGTCTCCAAACTGAAAGGTTGAGGATTAAAGGTACTTTTATATTGAATCAAACATCACAACGCTTTTCTTTCACATTTCATGCAGCACTTACTCAAATCCTTTCAAATGGCAAGACTATAAATTGTAACAGTCTTCTAACATACACTTATTTTTTTCTAGCAAACTACAAACAAATGCCATTAAAATCTAGAAAGAAATGCCATTTTTAAAAAGCTAATCAAATTGTTCTTCCTTAAAACAAAATTAACAAGTATACTTCGGGCCCCATTGGGAAAACTGATACCTAACTTGATTTACATTATTTTAATGTTAAGAGTTTGACTTGAACATTAAAATTTTTTTTCTCAAACAAGAAAAAGCAATCTGCCAGAAAAACACCTATTATTCCAATCTCATTCCAGTTTTTTATAATGTAACTAGATTCTCTGAAATGCATAATCAACAGCTGGATAGGAAGGATTTTTTTTTCTTCTGTGTGTGTGTGTGTGTGTGTGTGTGTGTGTGTGTGTGTGTAAAAAGTAATGAATGCATTCATCTGGATTAAAATTCAAAAAGCTCAAATCTACTTAGAATTTGACTTTTCACCCCTTCTTCCTGATACAACTCAGACTTAATTCTTTCATATTCTTCCAAAACTGTATAACTATAACAAAAAAATTTAAGTATATTATTTATACCTTTTTGCACAAATGTTAAAGTATATCATTGACTTGCAATGCTCACAATTATATTCGAGTTGGTTTTATTCTAGTGATTCCCAAACATTTTGGTTTCTGGAACCCTTTGTGAATTCTTAAAAAAGTAACTGAAGATTTCAAAAGGCTTTTGTTTATACAGCAATGATGACCTTGCTTAGCAATTACCCACTCAACCGGCCTTAAAATGTGCATTTATTCTAACATGACAATGAACTACTCACACCATTATTTTTATGAAAAAAATTATTTTCCGAAACAAAAAAAAATTAGTGTCATTATTTTGACATTTTACAAGTCTCTTAGAGCTAGAATTAGTAGAAAATAGCTGGATTCTTATAGTTACTTCAGTACTGAATCAATTGGGATGTACTATTTTGAAGTAAATGGAAGCCATTTATAATACAGATACATATAATGGAAAAGGCATATTTTATCTTCAGGTATTTGTAGATGTTCTTTAAAATCTAACAAATGATAGTTTCTTAAAATTCAGTTATAATACGACATCTGAAATGATGAATTATGAATGAATTTTAGACTCTATTACAACTTATCTAGTTTGAATAGATCTTCAACATGTACTTTCTATTAGGCATCAGGTACCTGCAAAATACTAAGTTATATAAATCTTCTAAATGTTGACACATTTCATTAGATATTCACATTTGTGAATATGTTCACCTGTTTTTAAATTTTGGAAAGCTAACAAGCTCCTAGTGGTAGACATAAATTTTCCAAGTTTCTAATATTAGCAAAAAATACTGTCAACCGTTTTCCTTAAACACTTAGTTCACTTGCTTTTGAAAAATACTGGTTAAATATTTCCATCTAAATATCATATAGTAGTTGTCAACCAGTCATTAAGTAAAAATGATGTACAGCAGGAGTGTGCGGAACTAGTTTACTAAAACTCACACAAACACAAGCGCTTGTCAAAATAAGCACTGTTCTAAGGAGCAAAGGCAAGGCAGGAGGCATCACAATCCCTGACTTGAAGTTATACTACAAAGCAACAGTAGTAAAATCAACATGGTACTGGAATCAGAACAGAGCCGAAGATCAATGGAATAGATTAGAAGATACAACCACAACTACAAACACACTTATCTTTGATAAAGGGGCCAAACATGTTCACTGGAAGAACGACAGTATCATTAATAAATGGTGTTGGAAAAACTGGCTCTCCATATGCCAAAAACTAAAACTAGACCCATGCCTATCACCATGTACTAAATTAAAATCTAAATGGATCAAAGAGCTAAATATTAAAACAGAAACACTAAATCTACTGGAAGACAAATTGGGTAAAAACCTTGAAGACATAGGGGTAGGTAGAGAATTCATGAACAG